ATGTATAAACATAGCAAAAACAATTGTTCTCCAAAATGAAATCATCCTGGCCTTTATAAAAATTGATCTCACCTCAAATCTAGCCTCTTTCTCCTAATCTATTTTAATTTTCATTATAAAAATGATAATTTCTTCTTAAAAGGAACCTTAGATTTGCAAACTATGTGAGGAAAATTAAATCATTCTTAAAGCCACCACCTTAAACAGATTGTGGGTGACGTTAACCTACAATTAAACTTTGGTACATCTTGTTCTCATTTTTTTCTCTCCACAATAGTTTTTTTTCCCAAATATAATCATGTTTAAAAATATTAATATGTGGAAAAGTATATAGAGAAAAGAAAATATAAACTACCAGAAATAACCACTTTCAAATAATCCCTAAACCCCTAGTCCTTAAGGTGACCACCATTTCTGCTCTCCCTAAGCATAACACAAATAGGTATATATTTTTTTTTAAGATTTTTTTTGACAGAGAGAGACACAGAAAGAGAGGGAACATTTGATTTCTTTTCTTTCCTTTTCTTTAAACTTAGTTCCTTAATCTATGAGCTATGTTTTTAAACATTGTCAAAGATTCCCAACTTATTTGTCACATGTTTAAGTTTTAGCAAAACTAGACTGTTATCTGTCCAACATTTTCAAATGCACATTTACATTTTTAAAGGAAATACACTTCTCATAGTCTTAAAGAGACTATGAGAAGTCTCACAGTCTTCTTTGAGAAGAAGACTTCTTTCCACTAAGCCTCAGAAAGGCTTCAGGACTAACAAAATAACCAGAGCTTTGATAACCAGCAGGAAATCATAGTGGGCAGGAATAAAGAGGACACTCCTCATACAGGCCAAATCAAAGTGAAACAATCTGAAGATCCAAGCCTTAGTGGTTTTATTATTTTAGCTTTTTAAAGTCTCAGAACTCCAAGGTTAGCTTAAGTACAAAGTTAAAACACAGTTTCCAGTTTTCATGACCAGTTTCCAGGTGGACTGGTCACCATTCCACCATTCGTTCAGTGACATTGGGCAAACTCTGCCCCTTGCCACTGGTCATGAGCAGAACAGGTGAGAAAGCAGGGAACAAGCTCACCTCCCACCCGTAGAAAAAGAACACAAAGGATATGTTCTGCTGACAGTAGGTCAACAGAAACATCCCGGAGTATGACGAGCAACACAGATGTCAGTGTTTATATGGTTGTTTCTCATTAGTAAGAAATATTGGATGGGGCGCTCCCTACTTGTGTTCCCTCTCTTGCTGTGTCTCTCTCTGTCAAATAAATAAATATCTTCAAAGAAAGAAAAGAAAGAAACGTTGGGTGATATTTCCCAAGAACATCCACTTCTCATACTGATTTTTTTCCCCCACTAGAGCATTCCTCTGAGGCACAACACTGTTACTGCTGTTACCTGCTATGACTTGGGATAAAGGGCATAACCTTCCCAGGGCAGTTTCCTCGACCATAAAATGAGGAGAAAGACAGCTGGCCTCTTAGGGTTGTTGTGAGGAGCACCTAAGAGGCTTAGGACAGGGACTGCCCTTGGGAAATGGTTTCAGTATTAGCTGTTGTTGTTGTTCTATTATTATTATTCCCAGCACCAGCTCTCCTACTCCTGCTAGGACTATTATTACCTCCCACTCCTGCCAGAAATGCTGGAGTGTAAAACTTAGGTCGAGTGTTTCAGAATGAAAGGGGGAACTGGAAAGGTCTGTGGTCAGATCAGCCTCAGGAGTAGTCTGTCCTCAGGCTTTGCAATCTGTTTGGGAGGTTAGTATTTACTGTCACCGTGAAACAGTGAGTGTCTCAGATGGGGGGTACCACAATCCCTCCCCCCACCCACACCCCCACACACTTTCTGATACACCAGCACAAGATTCCTGTGCATCAGCTCCTTCAGTGAGCGGGGCTAAGCAAGGACCCAGGAGTTACAGGACGCCTTGGTGGCTCAGTCAGTTAAGCGTCAGCCTTCTGCTCAGGTCTTGATCCCAGGGTCCTGGGATCGAGTCCCGCATCGGGCTCCCTGCCCAGCGGGGAGACTGCTTCTTCCTCTGGCTGCTGCTCCCCCTGCTCGTGAATACACTCTCTGACAAATAAATAAATAAAATCTATTAAAAAAAAAAAAAAAAAAAAAAGAACCCTGATTCCAGGGGTTAGGTGTGAAAAAGGCCGTGGTGGCCCTGCTCCCTGGAGCCTTTCTGGAAATCCTACAAGGCCTGAAACTGCAGACCAGGAGCCCAAACCTCCCCAAATGGGCACCGTGAAGATCCAGACCAGGGGGTGTAATGCAAGCCACCAGGGACATGAACGGATTTATCGAGGCTCAGCAGTCAGAAAGCATTTCTTCTAAGATCACCTTTCCTCCTACATACTCATTTCTTTCCTCTGAGTGCCTATCTTCCACAGTCAGTCAGTGCTCCCAATGCTTGGGGTGTGGGCCAATTCATACTAACACCATGGGTCTAAAGACTTGTCTCCAACCTTGAAGCTCTCAGTGTTTGTCAAAGAAAATAAGGATCACGTGCTTCTGCGTCACCAGCTAGGTTTGTAAGATTTAGGAAACACCAAGACTACTCCGAATACCAGCAAGAAGGCAGGCTTGGTCACAAGTGATCCGCTCAAAGTTTCACTTAACATTACATGGTATGCAATGAGAAAAACACCCGTCTCTACTTGATTTCAGGCAAAAGGCAGAGGCGTAACAAAACTAAACCATCCCAGCAAGATGAGAACAAGAATGACAGCAGGTGGTCCCAACCTAGAGTCAGGAAGAAGATCTGCTTAGACACTTCATCCTCAAATTACCATTTCTGAGCACCCTACTGTATGGTCTTTTTTTTCTTCCCCATGTTTGCAGGAAATTATTTTAAATGAATATTCTTTGGGAAGACCCTAAAATCTGGCTTTTTAGGGAGTTTCCTCTCTTATTCTATACTTGTCACATTTCTTTATTTGTGCTTCTACTTTGTAGTACTGATTGGTTCTCTCTCATTACAAGGCTAGGAAGCCCTTGGGAACGCAGAAACAGATCTCCCAGACAAAAATGAGTTTTATGTGAGCTTTTTCAGACTCTTATCTGTGCCAATTAAGGAAAATAATTAACGAGCAAAATATTCTTAACATTGTTCTTTGCTAAGTGGGTGCCTGGGTGGCTCAGTGGGTTAAAGCCTCTGCCTTCAGCTCAGGTAATGATCTCAGGGTCCTAGGATTGGCCCTGCATCCGGCTCTCTGCTCAGCAAGGGGTCTGCTTCCACCTCTCTCTCTGCCTGCCTCTCTGCCTACTTGTGATCTCTACCTATCAAATAAATAAATAAAATGTTTTTTTAAAAACCACACTGTTCTTTAAAATCATGGGACAGCTATAATCACTTTGACAATAGTCTTCCTTTAAGTTTGAAGTTGAGCACATTTAATATTAATAGTATAATGGTGCAAATATGCAGTGAGAACATATATTAAGTTATAGCAGTCTTTTTTTTTTTTTTTTTTTTTTAAGCTAAAATGACCTACTGGATTTGCTGTTAAAAAAAAGATCTACAGGGGCGCCTGGGTGGCTCTGTGGGTTAAGCCTCTGCTTTCGGCTCGGGTCATGACCCCAGGGTCCTGGGATCGAGTCCCGCGTCGGCCTCTCTGCTCACAGGGAGCCTGCTTTCCCCCTTCTCTCTCTGCCTGCCTCTCTGTCTACTTGTGATCTCTGTCTGTCAAATAAATAAATAAAATCTTAAAAAAAAAAAAAAGATCTACAGAGGCAGGGGCAATAACTTAACTGGACTGTTGTCTCTCAGGGTATAAAGAACAGTCAATTTTGTAACCCTGAAATGGCATGTGGCCGTAACTTTACAACTTCAGTTTCAGCAGATACGGAAACTGTGATCCTTAAGGAACCGCGGTCCTCACAGATGTTTTGAAAGTTCCTTTTTGTCTCTCTTTCCCCTCAATTTTATTTTTTTAAACAGGGAGGAACATGGAAGAACAGATCCTTTCTTAAGACATGGTCTTTCCCACTGGGGGAAGAAAGGGGCAGAACAAAGCAGCAGTAACAGACGTGCTCTTGCATTCTTTAGAAATCAAGTACATTACCTCGAGCTAAAGCACACTTAACGTGAAAACAGACTATCCCGTAGTGTTCCAAACTTTCAAATGTCACCCAATTTAACTACTCTTGCAGAACAATTTCACGCGGGGTTGCTTTGGTGACAATAATAAAGGTGAAACTGCTCTCTAGGTCTCTAATGAAACTAAAGAAGATACGCTCTCAGCACTTACTGCTATTCACTGAATTTCATTTTGTTACTATTAGCAATACTTCAGTGTCTTACAGGGCACACTCCATTGTCAGTGCGATTTACTCCAGAAGTAATCTCGGATTCCGAGGAATTACATAAGAATAAAAACAGGGACAAATAAAGAAGGGATTCAGCCCAGCTTGACCCACCTGTACACTCCGCCCACATCTACAGTTACTTGCGTAGTTTATGATGCACTCTAGAAAAACGCCAGACTTTCCAAAGAGAAAATTACAGTGATATTCGGTTCATTTTAACTACGAGAAGTAGGCCCAAGGGAAAACTGCTTCGGGCAATCACAAGGCTGTGAGGCACCACGGCTGCAGGCTGGACGGCAGCACATGGCTGCCTAGGGTTCAAGAAACCTACAATCAACCACATATAAAATCACAGTTACAACGAGAAGATTTAATGGGGTGGGGGGGATACCCAAAGAAAGGAATTCAGAAAAAGGAACTGAAAATGCTTACAAACAAGTACAAACTATCAATCCAACACACACATGCCATTTCATCCTAGCCTGCATGTGCCTTTAATATTGCCAAACTATGCATATATTATAAGGAGAATCCTAACCTCCAAACCTCCCCAGGAGCAACCAACTCACATTATTTTCTAAAAGAACACGGCAACGCCACAAATGCTGTGCTGTCATATCGCCGGGGAGTACAGAAAGAAAACTGAACACATGCAGCAGAAAGTTCAAAATGTTATTTACTAACCTGGTGCCCCTGGGAAAGTAGTCGCTTCATACTGCTCTACACAAAGAATCTTTACTATGAAACTAATCTCCAAAGCAGCTGATAGCCCAGAGGGAAGCAAACAGGCTACCCAGGGAATCCACAAACACAAGGAAAGCAGTTTGTTCCCAACTTGGCAACTTAAGTCATAGCCAAGCCCACAAAGTACTTCAGCCTATAAGCTTTAGTAATGAACTTGAAACCACTCCCCATATGTTAAATAGACATCGGGCTGCTGTGAGAATGAAAACCCACAGAACACAATTGAGCAAAGGCTTCAGGCTTCATTTTTGAACTTGCTGCCTAAGAAAACCGTAACACAAACTTAAGAGAACACTCACTCCTTTCTCCCTCTCTGGATACTGTATTAAAGCGACTCATTCATTTTAAATAGGAGGAATACAGTCTCACTGACCTCCCCCGCCTGCCGCCATTAGAGCCATGAAATGAATTTTACAATGTTGCCCAAGTGGTTAAGTGGTGGTGATAAGTACTATGATTTCATTTTACATAAGAGGGACATATGAAGTTACTATTTCTGAGAGAATCCAAGTCACATACTGTTTTCAGGTGGTGGGTTGCATTAATTAAACCTAAAATCTCATTAATTATTCTAAAGTTCAAATCTACTTAAATTCAAAAGGAATATTTTAAAGAACCTTCTAGGAGCGCTGGGTGGCTCAGTTGGTTAAGCGTCTGCCTTCTGCTCAGGAAGTATTGGGACCAAACCTGGCATCATCAGGCTCCCTATTCAGTGGAGAGCTTGCTTCTCCCTTTCCCTCTACCAATTCACTCCACTTGTGCTCCCTGGCTCTCTCTATCCTTCTGCCAAATAAATAAATAAGTAAATCTTTAGAAAAAAAAAAAAGAATCTTCTAACTTTAAGGTTTTTTTTTTAATTTGAGTGTAGTTAACACACAATGTTACATTAGTTAGAAGTGTATAGCATAGTGATTCAGTATTTCTATGCATTATGCTATGTTCCCCACAAGTGTAGCTACCACCGAGGATTGGATCGTTCTAACTTATGATTTGGATTTAGTGTCTGTAAATCTAAAAGTCACTCATAATTCAGTTTCACCATCTACATTTTGGTTTTATTTAGGAAAAAAAAGACTTTTTGGTAGTATTACAGTTTTTTTTTTAATAGTTTAAAATGGAACTGAATAGGACTCTCCATGGTTTCAAATTAAGAAATTTGAATTTTATTTCTCATTCTAGAAATATGCATTTGATAATTTCTTGAAGGCATTTAGATCTTAAAACAGTTCATAATGTTCCAGCACTTTGCTCAAGAAATAATGAAAATCCGTGCTCTGCTTTTTAACGTGACGTGTTCACAGTACCATATATACAGTCTGCTCCTAGTTTTTAACTCCAAGGACAGTTTTAATTGTCATGGCTTGCTTCCATGATTTCCACTTTGTTTAAAGAAGATCTATTTAACAAAATGGTCAAGATTACCTAACTCTGTTGTTTCTTCTAAGCCAAAAGATCAGACCAAATTTTCAAGGAAAACTCGATTCACTGGTTGCCAAACAAGATTTACATGTATTGCCGGTAACATCAAGTTACTCAAAACCTGTGAAACTTAAGCCATCGACATATAAACACAACAAGATCAGGCATGAAAAACCTGGAGACTCCCTGAGATCTCACACATGCCCCCACTTGCCTCCTCCACCCACTCCCAGGACAGGGTTCAACAGTTTCTCATGGGGTCACTTTAGAATGACAGGGTCAAGACAGTCACCTCAGCGAGAAAATGAGAGATGAGGCTGACGCCTTAAAAAAGAGCCAGAACCCCACCTGGTGGCAAGACCAAGAAAACGCTGGAACAGTTAAACCTCAGGGGAAATACAACTCTGAAGCTGGAAGAAAAACAAAAAAGCAGAAAAGGATCCGTTGTGAGTACATTAATGTCACACACAATGTGTGGTAAGGGTCATGGAAAGTTTTGCGCCCCCCACGAGAGCAAAATATTTCTTGAGGATACGAAAACACTAATGCAAAAATAATAATAATAATAATAGTAATAATAATAATTACCCTGAAAACCATCTCTTTCATGTGGATCTGGTCTATAAACATATACAATGATTTACATTCCTGGAAAAATTCTCTGATAAGTAATATTCATCTTTCCTTTACCCAAAAAGCTGTGATAAAAATGCCTGTGAGGTCAACATCATCTCTGAAATGGAAAAAATGTGGATAAATCCCAACCTAACCAGCTAAGTTCTGGTGGGACAGTGTCCATCACTCTGTTAAAAGGCTGTATCCCTAAGATTGTTCCTGTCTCTCATCAAAAGTCTTTCCTTCTGGGGCACCTGGGTGGCTCAGTGGGTTAAAGCCTCTGCCTTTGGTTCAGGTCATGATCTCAGGGTCCTGGGATGGAGCCCCACATCATCATCTGGCTCTCTGCTCAGCAGGGAGCCTGCTACCCTCCCCACCCCACCCCCCCCACCCCCGCCCGCCTGCCTCTCTGCCTACTTGTGGTCTCTGTCTGTCAAACAAATAAATAAAATCTTTTAAAAAATGTATTTGCTTCTACTTGACTTATTTCACTCAGCATAATCTCCTCGAGGGGGGGAGTGGGGGGGATGGGTGAGCCTGGTAGTGGGTATTAAGGAGGGCACGGACTGCATGGAGCACTGAGTGTGGTGCATAAACAATGAATCTTGGAATGCTGAAAAAATAAAATTAAATTTAAAAAAATAAATAAAAGGATTATCCATAACGGAAAAAATTCTTTCCTTTCGTCTCATATAAGTTATTTCTGCAAAAAATCCATGTATAATATCAACTTCAATGGAGATAAAGAATAGTTAAATTCTGGGTTTCGAATTACACTGGAGTAATAAACGTTAAAAAAAAATAAAAGTGGAGTAAGATGTGATTTTTAAATAAGCCCAAGCCACACTACTGAAACTAAAACTAATAATACTAGCAGCTACTATTTAAGCTTTCACTACAAGAACTTAAGTGGTGGGCAAGGTTCTAAACTTCCTCACAAGTAGTAAATCATTTACATCTCACCACTGTCTTCTTATACCAGTTTTATAGATAAGAAAACTGAGGCCCCTAAAGGGTAAGTACCTTGCCAAACTGTGAGTGGTGGAACTGGGACGAGAACCCAAGCAGTTTAGCTCTGATGTAAATGCTCCTAACCATGTACTTTATTAATTCCGCCTTCCTGAGTGCACACCACTTGGGAAATCCTGCCAGATTCTGGTCAGATGCAAGGAGGAGCAGACAGGAGAGAACTGTTCCACGGACAGTCCTCACGATGGTGCAGAGTGGGAAAGGCTCCGGAGCCAAGCAGCCACACAACTGAGACCAGGAGGCTTCATGGCAGGTAAGGGATCCCCAGCAGAGGGCACCCACATAGTCTTCCAAGGCAAAGAGGGAAATGGGGAACCATGCGGCCGCTGGAGGGATCACAGGGAGCAGAAGAAAATGCTGCAAGGGCAGCAGGGGTCCTCTGATGTCGATCTCACAGAGGCAAAAAGGCAACTGGAGAGTTTTAACTGGAGGGTGGCCAGATATGCATGTTGGAAAGATAAGTAAGGAGCCAGGCCTTGTAGAGTGAGTAGAAATTAAGAAGACGGTCCAAGGAAAGGAAGGGGCAGACCAGTGCTTTCAAATGTACAAGCTTACACTTTCCCAAGTGTTACCAAGGAAGCCGGGGCCCTAATGCCGGCAGCAGGGGTGCTTGCTAGCTCTCTTGAGGAAGCTAGGTTCAGGGCCTGAGCCACACAGAGTTTGTTGAGGCCATCCGCAGAGCTGGGAAACCGGGAGGAGGAGCAGGCTGGCGGGAGGAAGAGGCATAGCGGAGCCAAGCCCAGGAGCTGGACTTTGGAGGTGGAGCTGGAGGTCCCGCGGGCCAGCCAGGGTGGACGTGCAGGAGAGAGGTCTGGAGCTCCAGTTCCTGGCCTGTACAGAAGGGACCCAACTAGCAGACACTGCACAAAAGGATGGAGGACTGTGGCTGGAGGGTAGCAACAGGGCACAAATGAGTCTGCCCCGGAGAGCACAGGGCATAAGAGTAAAGGGAGAAGTTTTGGATTTTTTTTTTAAAAGACATATATTTTAGAGAGGGTGTGTGAGCAAGTAGGGGAGAGGGGTAAAGAGAGAGAAAATCCTGAAGCAGGCTCTTTGCACGGAGCCCTACACAGTGCTGGAGCTGAGGACCCTGAAATCGTGACCTCAGCTGAAGTCAAGAGTTGGAAGCTCATCCAAGTGAGCCATGCAGGCACCCCAAGGGTGAGGTTTTAAGGCAAGCAGTTTCTGAAGATCTTGGACAGAATTCAGGATGGGGATGGGGAAATTTTTCGTTTTAATTTTTACTAACCTCCAGCTGAACTTGAGCGTTCCCTTCCATTACAAATGTAGGCAATGATCCACAGTAAAAGGAGCCATACCTGTGACTCGTCACAGTAGAAATCAAAGGTGCCTTCATATCACATCACAATTACTGCAGACAACTCAAAGTATTTCCATGCATCAGTACATCAAATTATAGTAGTTACTACACCTGCCACTAGTTCCTGATATGTAATGTGTTAATAAAGGCTATATATTACACTAGTACATAGTTTTTGGTGTATGGGTAACTGTATATCAGCATAATTGGTTTCCTTTGTAATCCAATGCATTCTAACTTTATGCATTTAAGTGTAGGCATTTAATTTTATGCATTAAACATTATTCTGAAAAGAAACTCATTAAATTCACTAGCATGCCAAAGGCACCCCACAGCACACACACAAAAGTACAGAACATCTTGGGGCACCTGGGTAGCTCAGTCAGTTAAGCATCCAACTCTTGATTTAGGCTCAGATCATGATCTCAGGGTCATCAGATCAAGTCCCACTGTGGCGAGCTCCCCACTTGGTGGGGAGTCTGCTTCAGATTCTCTCCCTCGGACCCTGCCCCTGCGCACGCTCGCTCTCTCTCTCTCTCTCTCTCTCTCTCACACACACACACACTTTCTGTCTAAAATCAATAAATAAATCTTTTTAAAAAAGGAAAGAACATCTATCTGATTTAAGGGGAAAAAGAAGAAAAAAACAGAAAGGTATTTTTAAAAAGAATTCAGAAAAGGGGAAACCTAG